GCCATTCCCCAAGCCACAGTCATTGTATAGAGCAGCATGTAGAGAGTCCCAAGTACACTGTAACCTTTAGCTACTCACAAGACCACATTCCTTTCCTATGTAGACTCACCCTCTAAGTATTTCACTTTAGTATATACTAACCTTGTCTTTACTAAACCAGACAGAATTTATTTTTAGGCTCTTGTAATTACTGCCACCCTAGCCTAAAGCTGAAGTTCTCAAAAGCTGACCTGAGGCTCAAATCTGGGACTAAAGTAATGAAGCTGGTCTGAGACTGAAAATTCCTGGAGACTCTCTCATCTAAAGACCCTCCCTGGTAATCAAGATCTAAGAAGAAGATGCACCCAAAAAATGGACTTCCTCGTTCTAAAAATTATGACTATTTATACCTAAACAAAACAGACGTCATGTTTTATGATTATTGATTCTATACTTTGAATGCCTTACCTTTTAGAGCAAAATGTTTCACTTACTTCCCCTCACCCATCCCACTGCTGTAAAACTCCTTCTATAATAAATACGCATGACTTCTGGCCATCAGGGCTGCAGTCTGGAGTTTACTCTGGCTGTAGCCGGCTAAAAACATGCTAAGGGCATGAGGTCTTAGTCTAATTCCTGTTCACCCGCGTCGCCTCCCTGTGCACCCACCCCGGCTGGGGGTACGGCTCCCGGCAGAGTACCATGGCTCAGGAAGCAAATCCATGCTCCCTTGGCAGAGAATGGGGGATGTATTGTGGGGAATCTCCTGCACCTGCCCCGGAGTCAGCCTGGCAGATCTGCACACAGGGCCACTGGGGATAGGAGGAGGTGGCATCTCGCTTTCCCTCATTTGAAGAGTCTTGTGTGTCCCCAGTAAGGGAGGTCAGTGCTGCCGGCAGCCCTACAGCAACTCAGAGGTCAGTAACAAAAGCTACTGGAAAGGGGGGAGGGGAGGAGGGCCACATCCTTGGCTCTGGAGTGAAACTGGAAATGCCCCCAGGCACTGATCTTGGGAGCACATTAAAGGATACATCTAGCATGTCAACCATGATTTTGCAGGTCTCGATGCTGAAGCCATCTGTCTTGATATCTTGGCCTAAGACACAAAATACAGTGACAAGATCTTCCAGAACAGCGCTGTCCAACGGAACTTTCTACCGTGATGGAAATGCTCATCTGTGCCCTCTAAACAGTAGCCACGTGTGGGTAGGTGGCTGTGATACTGCAGGCGGCACTATGGGCAAATAAGGTTTTAGTAAGTGTTTCTAAAACAAATAGCAGATTGATAAACGGCTGGGCCTTTACACGCTCACATCGTACAGAGTTGCCTCTGGTTGTTGGCAGGGGAAAGAAAGGCAACCCCAGTGGTGCTTCTAGGCTGTGACCTGCGAGAGGAAGAGACTCATGTGTACCGTCTCCCCGCAGGCAGGCTGGAGAGCCACGTCCTGCCCGTGACTGCAGCCTTCTGCCCCAGGGTTCCATACCGATCTTGAAACCTGGGGACCTGGATGCTGTCTGTGAGCTCAGAGCTCTCAGGGCGAGGGTGCGTCCTGCCAAGCCAGTGGTTTGAGGCTGGTCACCCTGAGTGTGTCTCCCCTCCTCACACATTATGTAGAGTAGCCATTTTCACTATGTCCTTGTGAAAGGTTAGAACCCAACCCATCTCAAAGCTGCACTCGGACAACAACTCTTTCTTGGGCATGAGATGAGGCTACAGCCCAGAGGCTGTTTGAGGCTCTGGGGCAGAAGGCTGGAATCACCAGGCAGGGACAAGAGGACAAAACAAATGCGACTTCCCCAGCAAGGAGCTGGCTGAATCCAGACATGGCCTGATCCTTCCACACCTCCCACCCCCACCCTCCATCTGTGCAGAAACAATGGGGCTCCAGTCTCCTGGGACTCATGAGGGCCACACATCTGAAGAGCCCTATGACCGCACTTGTGCCTGGCAGCCTCAAGGGTAAACACCACCTTCTTGTCCTTCCCCCAAACCAGAGATGGGCTGGGGGGTTGTGCAGCAAGGGCCCGCCCTGGGGAAGCCCTGCACCAGACTGCCATACCCACGCCCTCCTGGCCCTCCTGACTCAGGCTCCAGTGCAGCCCTGTGGTCAGCAACCGCGGGCCAGGGACCAGTTACTCTGCTGCCCATGTACCCTGGGACGGGAGACCCAGCTGGCCCCGCACTCTTCTTTAGCCCTAAAAGAACTATCCTGTAGAGTTAGGCTAGAGGCTGTCTTTTCTATTGTTGGAAAGAATGATGTCCCGTGGAGTCAGGAGACTTCTTGAGATGAACCATGGGGCTGTTGAGGATATGACAATATATGTTTGTTTCTGATCCAGATTCATGACCTGATACTGTACAGAACGCTGCTCACTGGATTGCTGTCTTACCAAAAGCTGCAGGATTCTTGTGATAATTTGAGGGAAAAGAAATGCGTGTGTGTGTGTGTGTGCTTCTCTTTGCCAGTGGTGATCAACACATATATATTGAAATATATATTGAAATGAATTAATTGCTCTCCAGAGAGAGAGGAAGAAAGCACCTCCCATGGGAGTTGGCCTTGCCACAATCCCTTTTTAACTTCTCTGTCCTATCAGGATTTGGGGGATGCACACAATAAGTGTACCTTTTTTTTTTCTTTTTTTTTTGCTATATGATATGTGCGTTTGCCAGAGAGAGAGAGAAAATGAGAAATCACCCCTTAAGGGGGCTGAGTATTCTGTATTTCCTTCTCCACTCTCCTCTCAGGATTTTGGGCATGCATGCACATGTCCCCAGCATGTTTTTCAAGCTGCCTGGTCCCAGATGTGAACCGTGCAGTTGGCCACATGGGATCTAGCCACCTTAACCACCAAGCCACTTGGCTAGCCGTACCCAGTGTACTTTTTTTTCTACGAATTATTTATTTAACTTTATTTATTCATTCATTTATTTTAATTTGACCAGAGAGAGACAGAGGAAGTGAGAAAGCAAGCCACCAGGTCTGGGACTTGAACCATGATCAGCCATGTGGGAGTGTCGAGTGCCTCAACCACCACGCCACTTGCTGGTCCCACCCGGTGTACTCTTTAGGCTGGGGCTAGTATTCAAACCATCGGATCCAGCTCCCTTAACCACTAGACCACCAAGCCAGTCCAAAATATCTTTGGCTTAAGAAATAATTACTGGCTGAAAAGGTTTGTAACAGTCATGGCTCTAGCTCATTCTCAAGTCTCCATTCAGTCTTATTCATCCTTTTGGAAGCCCGATAGCCTGGACTGAGAGCAGACATTTCTGGAGTCTTAAAGTCACTTACTTTGCCCATTGGCTTAGATGAAGTGACATTTCTCTCAATAAAAAACTGGCACAACAAGGCTAAATAAATACATGATTGGGAGATGAGACTTTGAAATTCCGTTTTTCTTAGCTTGAGTATAAGGTGGCCGATTATTTTTCCAATCTGGCTTGTCAGAGATGTCATTCCTGTATCAGTAACTCTCCACTAAATGTAGTTCAGGAATTCGGGGCCTCAGGAATGCTTTCTGGCTCTTGTTATTTGGGCTAACTCAGCTTTTCTTACCCATTGGTTACAATGGCCGCCATTTATGGAATGCAGGCTTTGTGCTATTGGGCTGTTGGGAAGTCATAACACATTTTTGCGTAGAAAAATCCGCCATGACTTTCCTGACAACGTAATAGACTGTTCCTACAAGTTACCTCATTTAGGATGTCTAGCCACTCTTAAGAGGTAAGTAGTAACATGCCTATTTTGCAGAAAAGGAAACAAGAGTCAGAGAAGTTACATAACATGGTTTGGATCATAGAGTGAATACGCAGAGGGTATCTGTTTATTAGCTCTTTGATCTCCAGGTGCTGAAAAACTTCACTCTGTTTATTCCATTGCACAGGACTTTCTTCCCCAACTTTTTGGTCATGGTTGAAGGGTGGTGGCACGTTATTTATGTCAGAGTAGGGAGTGATGGTTTTGCCACAGCAGCCAGTATGCAGAAGAGGACATTTATCATGTTCCCTTGTCCACAGAAGCCAAGTAAAGGATTCATAAGGTTGGGGATACTCACGCTTTGCTAGAACTCGTCTCAGGATGGTCTGCAACTCAAAGGCAGAAATCTCTGCATCCTGTGGACATGCAACCAGAGCGTCATTACTGGCCCCTGCGGGAGCTGGTGAAGCCCAGGCGGCTAACGTGCAGTAGATGTGGCAGGTAGGTCTGGGTGGGGGCTGTGCATCTGCATTTCCAACAAGCCTCCAGGTGAAGTGGGAGCTGCTCTCTGTGACACTTTGAGCAGCACTGCCACCAGTGCTCTGGATGCAGTGTCTTATCGCACAGCAGACTCTGAGGGAAGCTCGTTGGCCATCACTTTGTGTTTATGGTCTCTCCCGACTTAGTTCCCTCACACCAGTCCTCCTAGCTGGCATCCCTCTTCATCCTAAAATGTGGACATCAAGCTTCCCAGAAACTGGTTAAGGCCACTGTGTCCAGGAACTGGCCCTGCCCATTCTCTACGGCCTGTCATGTTAGGGTTCCTTGGAGAGGTGTGGGTACCTCTATTCACTTGTGCCTATTTGTGTGACTGAGGGTCAAGCCCCGCTGTTTAAACTCAGATCAACTGCGCCATTTTTATCTTCTTGGAATGTGTATGTGTGTGATTCAGTCAGTGGGGAAATACGAACTTTCTTCAGAAAGTTAATGGAAGGTGCATATGATGAAAAAAATATGCACAAATTTTTAAATTTGTGCACCAAGATAAACTCATGCTTTAAATTCCATCTTTCCTTACATGTAAAAAAGAATTAAAAAAAGAAAGAAAAAGGAAAAAAAGAAAAGAAAAAAAAATTTTCCATCTTTCCACGAAGTTTTTGAAGTCCCTGAGCAAGTCTCTAGAACGTCTCCCACTGAGAAACTCTGAGGCAGGTGGAGACGTGGTGCTCATAGTGGGTTACCACTTTGGTGAGTCTTTGGCCTGTTAAGCCAGGGCCCCTCGGGAGAAGTTCAGGTACCTCTATTCGCGTATGCATATTTGTGTAACTGAGGGTCCAGCCCCACTGTTTAAAACTAAGATCGACGGCACCATTTTTGTCTTCTTGGAATGTGTATGAGTGTGAGGGAAGCAGAGGGAAGCCCGGATGAGCTCAATGGTGGATGCTGGAAACAGCTACATCCTTCTGCATAATGAAGAGGGTGGCTCTGTTTTTGCAGCTGTTAGGAAGGAAGAGGGCTGAATCACTTATAGCAGCTCTGAGTGGCCGAGGGGTGTTTTTTGGAACAGCAAAGTCTATATTCTGTTCTCAGTCACTTTCATTTTTGAGATCTGAAGCCCTTCTGTCTCCCTCGAATATTTCTGTGGCCATCTAGGATAATGGTGTGGAACAGAGAAAGTAAAGCATCCTCAAGGTGAAGCCAAGACTCCTACAGAAGCAGGAACCCAGAGAGAGAGCTTCCCACAAAAAGGGAAGCCTCTGCAGTGTGCAGAGTTCTTGGGGAGGATGTGAGCTGAAATCTGAGTTATATCTCAATTCTTCTTTGTTTTGGGTCTGTTTTTTCCTCTCTCCCTTTACATTAAAGTCACCCGGAGGACAAACACCGTCTTTCCCTTTGCATCAAGCAGAGTGCGTAACAGTTTGGGGGAACACCTACCTCCCCTGCCAGCTGGGCAAACAGCCTCCTGAATCCATCATCAATGTTGTCCTCGCTGACATCGATCTGTGAGACAGAAAGTAGGATAGCAAGGTACTTCCCCCTTCCTTCCAAGACAGCCTCCCTCTCCTGGAGAGCTCTCCTCTACCTCTCCCCTGGGCCTGAATTCTAGGGTTATTGGGATTGAGATAAAGGGCAGTATGAAGAATTAATACAATGATTTTTTCCTAATTACAGCACATGAAAGAGAATATTATATTCTAATTTTGCATATAAGAATCTTCTCCAACATTGAATCACATTGGCCTTTTATAATCTACAGGGGACTCAGAAGTGTCAAGGCAAGCTGGAACTTTCCAGAAGAATGTTGACTGGCTAGTCCATGAGGCCCTTAGAAATTGCTCAGTCTTCTGCTGGGTACAGATGACAAGCACAGAGCTTCAGCAACGGAGTCAATAGTTATGGAACTACCCCAGCATCCCCAGAAAAAGGGATGGTTCTTTGCTTGACGTTGAATTTATTGAGACTGGGCCTGGTCTGAAATTTGTGACTTGTTTTCCTAAAAGCCCTTAAGGATTTACCACTGAATCACACCTTTGAAACTCTGGGGAACCTGAGAAGCCTTATCATCTTGCATTCCTATTTTATGGATGAGAAAAGCAAGGCCCAGCACAGGGAATAAGCTGGCGCTGCTCAGTGTAGGACAGTGTCATGTTCTCTAAACCCCCCCGTCCCATATACCCGGGCTAACTCTGCTCTCATGGGCAAGGGGCTGGCCCAGGCCTCCAGCACTGTGGGCAGAGCAGGTGCAGAAAGCAGACTCTTGGGCCTCGGGTCTGCATGCTTTGTTTCAAACTGTGTGCATGAGCTCCATGGGGTCACCTAAACCCTTGGAGTTATTTTTTGCTCCTCTGCTCACTGGATTGTCCAGGAAAGAGGGGGTGGGATCCCAGAGAGTGGGTGGAATCCAAGGAGTTACAGTACCTCTTCAATATTGGCCTCGATTTCATCATCAACAACTCTGGAAATAGAAGGAAATTATGGGTTACTGGAAGGCAGGTGAGGGTGAAAAGGAAGTGCTGCAGAAATCACTGCTAAAAGTGAAGTGCGATGTCAAGTCCAGCACGAGTTGGGTGGAGAGGGTTTCTTGGCAGCCAGATGTCTGGGATAACACATCCCATAAACAGTGGAGATTCAGGCAGAAAGGATTCGAGGGAAGCGGCATGGCCAAAACACCGTGGGCAGCTGGGGGGTTTTGTTCGGTCATTTTTGGTCTGTAAGAAATCGCACCATCTTCTGTGGTGTGCTGCTGTACTCTATCTAGACAATTCACTCCATTCTTGACCAAGGAGCAGCTGTTAAGCTTGATCTAAAACACTCTTGGCCATTGTAAACTTTCTCACTGAGAATCACAAAGTGTGACCCGCTGCCTACTTGGTCAGCTTCAGCTTAGAGGGGCAGGCCGTGGGGAAAGCCTGTGTGTGATCTTAATGGAAAACCGGGCAGTGGTCAGTTTACCCCATGCACAGTCTCCAACAGAGCTGGGTCTCTCTGCTCCATCGTGAGAATAATTAAACTTAGGAGGGTCTTCCTTGGACCCCTGGGATTTTCAACTAGTCTACCAAGTTCCTATCTGCAGGCCTGATATCTTATAGAAAAAAGGACAAGGGGAACTCTTGGTGTTGATAGTTGGAATCTGGAAAAGAATCCATGTGGCACCAGGAAGCTGGACTCTCTTGAAGGATGAGATGTCTTGAATGGGGAGTTCACCCTGGAGAGTGTTGAGAGGACTGAAGCTTCCCTGGAGCAGTGGCTTATGGCTGGCAGGGAGAGATGGTACTGGTCTGACAAAGGACAGTGTGACTCCAGAGCCACCAGGTCATGTCTTCTTTTCCTCGTCAGCAGGGACTAAGATGAACACACAGCTTCCTTCAAGGATCCTCAGGGCTAAGAGGAAAGATCCCATCTCATGGCACGTTAGCAGAAGAAGAGAGCCTGCCTTGCAGCTGGCTGGTGTTTTCTCTCCCTCCCCCATGAGCAATTATTTCTGTCATGTATGTCTTAGAGCAAAGGCCTCTACCTCCTCTTACTCTCTTCCTCCCAAGGGCCAGGAGGCCAGGTGGCTGACCTGAGCCTGGCCTGTCAGACACGATGGGATCTTTGGGCCTGAGCATGGCACCAGGTCAGAGGGGCCACCCCACCCTCTGGTCCTCCAGCACAGCCCTGGATCCTGCTGTTCCCACCCTATCTTCCAAACTCCCATCAGGTCTGGAGTCCCTAGTGGTCTTTCAATGAATATCCTTTTGCTTAAATTGCCCAAGGTTGATTCTGTCTCTGCCCAGCTGAATGACATGGTTGAGGCAGCAAAGTGGCAGAAGCCACTGGGAATTGAGCCACATGGATAGTGGTGGGAAATCAATAGCCAAAGGAGCTGCTAAATAGTTGGGACCCAATGAGGAACGGGAGGGGTCTGGAGACTGCATGACTACAACAGGGAGCAGTTCCGGCGGTGGGGACTTAAACCCTTGGTGGCTCTCCTTGGCCAGTGGCCAGGAGATCATACCAGGGACTATATTAACCTGGGGTCACAGTGTTATAAAGGTCGTCCAGGTGAAAGTTAAAGTAACAACTTGGTAATTCAAATACAGCTAAGAAATTAGATCCTCTAGTTCACTCTCTCTACAACTGCCCCAGAGTGGCTTTCTTCTTTGCTTACTGGAATATCACACTAAAGATTCTCTAGTACATCAGATTCCCCACACAAACCCTTCAAGGCAGGCAGGTGTTCCAGAAAAAGAACCTGGCAGTCAGCGGAGTGATGGCTCTCTATGGGACACCACAGGCCAGCGTCTAGGGACAGAGGGGTGGGAGGAAAAGGACAACGACCTACTGGTAATCAGCTTTCTTCTCGGAAAAGACGCGGACGCAGAAATCCCCGTCCTTGTTGGGTTCGAAGGTGGAAGGCACCAGGACGTATTCTCCCGGAGGCAGCTTGAAGCGGTTGAGCACCTCCCGGAGGTTGATGAAGGTGTCCGACCGCTCCCTGGCTCGGGTCCTCAGGAAGAAGTTTTTGCTGAGGTGGATGTTGGTCTGCCCAGTTAACTGAGGAGTACATGGAGACGTGAGTGTGTGTGTGTGTGGGGGGGGGGAGCAAATAATTGTCATTTTCATGCATCTAGATAAAAGGATTACAGTGAGAATCTCTGGATCGTTGTAAACAAAAAGCGAACTCCAACAAGTGCCTGCTGAGGGGCTCAGGGGCACATATCACAGGGTGGCCCCATCCCCCCAACTTGTCTGCACTCCCGTCTTTTCACACGGAGTTCTCAGCCATCCTCTAGGTGACAGTCAGGGGGGTTAGTCCACACGACAGGAATCTGGCTATGCAGTGTATGACACACTAGTAAAAGCGAAGGCTGGACCAGGACAGAGAAGGGGGCCCAGCTAAAACAAGGTGGTCTGCTGGACAGAAGCCGGGCCGGAACTCATAGGCCGTCTCTTAACAAAGGCCGGCGTGCTAGCAGCTGTACTGCCCTGTGATGGACAGAACGTACTGCAGTGGGTCCGAGTGCCCTGTGTGTCACTTCAGTCACTGAAGTAGCCACAGCTGACAGCTCCATGGGCTAGTGGTAACGCACTGCTCAAGAGAAGCTGATTCCACAAGCCAGCCATGGTTTGCCTCC